AAATATATCAAATAATAAACAAATCACGTAATTTGTTCAAAAATCTTTGCTCTCTAAGAAATCCAAACTTACGACTTCACTAAAAATGCCTAAAAAAAATAATATAAAAAACATCTGTACATTCAGACGTTCAAGGGGATTTATTATATCAATTGTTGGAGATATAAAGGCATCGATCTTATTATATAAGAATCTTGAAAAATCAACAAATCGAATAAAAGCTGATCGAGCAACAATTTTATTAGAACAATCCGATAAAAAATACAATTTATATACAACATTTGAACTCAATCAAGTAATATACCATAAAACTTTCAATGTTTTATCAGCTAAAAACGGAAGTGGAGAAACAATGAAATCCTCAGCAACTGACCTTAATACAAAAAGAGAGAAAGTTGAAACATACGAACAAATGGCAAACCCGGTGATTTTTCTAAATACGTTTAATGCTAAACAAGGATTTATAACTAAAATGTTAACCGTTAAATAGTTCACATTTCTAAAATTTTAAATCTTTAGTACTTCATGTTATTATTTTCTAAATAATTTTTAGTACTTCATGTTATTAGTTTCTAAATAATTTTTAGTACTTCATGTTATTAGTTTCTAAATGAGTTTTATTTTCTTATGAAGTTTTTTTGGCTTGCAGAAGAAAAACTTTAATATCATTATTCCCAGCAATGTAATTATAAAAAAACTTGTTTATTCAAAAAAAACAGAAAAATTTCTCAAGAATGAATTTTTGTAAATGTTGTGCATTACCGCGTTTGAGTATATGTTGGCAAAATCCCAACTTACTATTTGAATTTGTCCGCGCCCAAATCCCAAATTCATCCCAAATTAATTTCTCGAGAACTTTATTAATAATCTTTGTTTAAACAAAGGTAGATATTCTTAATCTCTTTAATCCTGTAAATAAGAATTAATATACCGGTAATATAAAAAATAATTGTTATTAGAGAAGAAAATTTTTTCATTTTCTCAAAACCTAATTTTTCGCATTCTTCAGTCTAAGTTGCATATTAGCACGTGCTTTGTTCTTCGTGTTACAATATTGCAATTATATTCCGAATTTATTTATTTAAATAATATTAAACTTGAATTAATTATATCGATATATATTTTTTAAATAATAAATTCGGCACCAATTATTGTGAAACATAAGAATAATTATTTTTTGTAATCAAATAATACCATAACAAAGATTTGAATAATTTTTTCGGTAATTCACCATTAAGTGTTTTCGTTATCTGTTTGGAATGTATATCCATAAGCAAATCATAAGAGGCCACTAGCCTTGTGTGAATTTTTTTTTAATTAACGTATGCACTTCTTTTTTAAAGAAAATGCCGAAAAAAAGTGATCTAAATTTCTTAATTACTTCAACAACTCTTCGGTTCGTACATCTCGTTTCTGTATCATCCAAAAATAAAAGGAGGACGAAGATATTCCCTATTTAAAACAAAAAAAAAACAAATAATCTTTTCTCCTCTCAAAAATCAGTTGAAATGGATCTGGATTAACCTTTTTCCTGTGAGATATATATTAAAACTATACAGGGTGAGTTTTCGCATTGATTACTTGTCGAGTTATAGTATTTCCAAAGTTACGCTGCCACATTGGTGCAATGAAATCTAATAGAATATTGAAAGCACATCGGGCCAACTATTGGTTGAACGTTCTCCTCTATCAGTTATCGATGTTCCCGTAGTACTGGCCCTGTCTGCGTTAGAGAGGACCTTTCTGTATAAAATATAGAAAGCATGCGTCTGGGAAGTTGGTGAATAGGATATACTCTAGCATTGAAGCATGTAACCGTTGACTATTCCGGCCATGTTCTTTGTTAGTTAATAATGATGACGCAAGTATTCTAATAATAATTTTCAACC